GGATTTTCTTCATTTAATTTAACCAAAATTAATCTTCACACATTAAAAAGCAACTATAGGCATTGAAAATTTAAAACGAAAAAGCCTATTTCAAGGTTTTGGGATTAACTGAATCAATTATTGTTTATTTCTTATTTTCATCAAAGCACACTGTGTCCTTCACCTGCAGGGGTCATAGCTAAAATGAATGAATGAAAACAAGACGACCTAATAGACTAATAAAATTGAAATATAACAATGGGATGAATTGATAATGAACCGACAGCGACATTCATTAAAAATTATAATTTTTGCAAAACCGAATAAGTATCTGAAAACTTAGTAAAATCATGGATAAAACATGCAATCTTTCCGGTATGATAAATTCTTTAAGGGCAGCGGAAATCAACGCTTTGTTTATTGTCTAAGTTTTATTCCTACGTAATTTTCAAATATTCTTTTTATTTATTATATTTATTAAATTGATTTTGTATCACATGTAATGTGCTTCTAATTATATGTAGACTGTTTGACATTTTGAGAACTGCAGATAAAACATTGATTATACAACTTCAATTTAGTCCATTAAGATTTTCACACACACAAATTCACTTTCCTATAACACTCAATAAAACTTGAGCAATGCACTCTAATTCATCTAGGATTTTAGAGAGTTTAATCGATTCGAAAACAAGTACTTTAAGTGGCAAACATGCATTTTATGATTAGATTGAGGAAACAGAAATTCACCTTAAGAATAAACACTGCCGACGAAAACGAAAAATAAATTAGTACTCTTTTTAATAAAACATTAGTAAAATATGAAATAGTTTTTCAAATTTATTTCTGTTTCAATTCAAATCGTAATCCAAAATTTTGATGAGATTATGTGCTACGAAACGAAAAAATATTCTCAAGACCAGTCGTAAGAAAGTGTGGATTACTTTTTGGTGAATTTGATTAGTTTTTTTTATTAAATTAGAATTAGTTATCTTCATCTGCTAGTTATCAATAAGTATAACATCTATTAAGTGATAATAACTACAATTATTGAAGTCGTATGTTATCAGAAATAGTATTAGGGGCTGATTGCCCAAACTCCCGCTAAATTCAAAAACCCAATAATCCAAAATATAAATCCGAAATGATTTAAACCTCTTAACCCTATAATTGAAGTGTTTTAAAACCTTTTTTCATTAAATTAAAGGATAAATACACCCATAAACGCATAATCTAAACGTTTTAAAGCCCATGAACCTTTCTGTAACTATCCCCTCTAAAAAGGACTTCTGCATCCGCACTCCTAAATAATATCCAGGAATTTTCAAAAATACTACAAATGACGCAGTAAACGCCATCTGTAGCACGATGCTACATTTTGGAGCATACGTAATCCTAAAATGTAACATCGTGCTACAGATGGCGTTTTCTGCGCCATTTGTAGTATTTTCGAAAACGCACTGTTAAGACAGCAGGTAAAAGTTGGTCTGTGTTCTGTCGGAGCTGTCTGCGACGCGCTGATGAGATCCAAATAGATCGAAATCGCGATCCGCGTCTGGCAGTTTTGGCAAAATACAGACCACTTCGAATTATTTTATTTTAATATCCGGGAATCTTCAAGCCAAGAAAATAATATATAGATATACATACGTGTACTTAAGTAGTATTTGTTTACTGAATTTATTTACTAAATTAAAACTTTAAACAATAAAGTAAAATTGATTGTTGTCAATATTTCAGAATTTAAATGCGATTCTAAATTCTATCGACATTCGACTTCAGAACTTAGATCAGTTTTGTTCCTTGCACTCGGCGACGATACAAAGCAAGCTCGCCTATTACGAGAGGAAATTGGACAAAATGGAAAAAGAAATATTGAGGATAGAAATGAGGATAAAAATTGATTTAGATAAGGTATCGGAGAATATCAGTAACAAAAATTTCAAAGATGATATCGCAGCCGACAGAATAATAAAAAAAATTGATTCTGCATTCGATAGAGTCAGTAACAAGTACTCAATTATAGAAAGCAATATGGACCTGGTAGCTACAAAAATTCAGGTGGGCATTTTCGTATACCTAAATGGTATCATATATATTACGTATAAATACGAAACTTTCAGTCAACTGTATAGGGTGCAATGAAATTTTAATACCATAGTAGATATGAAAAACTTTTGTAATTAAAAAAAAAACAGTTACTATCTTCTATTCTCTCACATCTCGAACCCTGGACAGTTAACAAAAAATACGAATTAACAAAAATTTGAGCTACATTCAAAGCATTTTGCTGTTAGTTTTGGCTGCACATTTATTGCGTTAGTTTTTGATGTCATATTTTTGTAGAATACCAGGGATGTCGTGATCAAAAAATTAGATAAAATCGATGAATCATTATACATTCGTGACGAAGAAACTGCCGCAGAAATGGAAGATGCAATAGAAGACTTAAAAAAAGTTTGTAGTTCGGTAGAAGATAATTTACTTAACAAAACGCAGGAACATATAAAGGTATATTGATTTCCTTCACAGGTTTTTATTTTTCTTATTGGAAAAACCTTTTGAAAATACTGTATACAACATTTTATGTAAACGATTTGTAGAGCCTCTCGAATCAGACTAAAATTTCAACAAATGGCCATCTCAATGAAGTTAAATTATTGTACGAAAACAGTAGTCTCGGAAATGAATCATTTTCAAATTGCAGTGGTATTGGAATAGCTCTGGACAAAAATAAGGCAGACATTGAAATCAGTATTAACGATTTTACAAACAAGGTACGACAGAAGAATTATCTAGTTTCTCTGCAATCTAACACTTAAAAATAAAAATAATTAGCCATGAAAGGTAGACATTCTTTCCTACTTGTTATTGTACTTATAATTGGCGAATAATTGAAATAAAAACAAATGATAAGCTATGTACGATAATGTACGAGCCACCACGTATTTTGATTTTTAAATGTTAATTCTTTCGCAATGAAGCAACTGGAATTTTCAGAATGTTCATTATATTTCTNAGCGGGTCTAAAGGTTAGTTAAAGGGTGCCAAACTCCTCAATATTAAATTATGATTTATCAATTGAAGTTTTTCTTGTCCCACAATAATTATTCGTAACTAAACTCTAAGAGTCATTTAAAGTAAGATTATGCCTTTGAGATAGTTTCTCAGCGGACCTGAGCGTTTTTACCTTTTTATAATTCATAGAATAATTCAACTGTAATTAACTTTCACTTTTTTGTTGGTAATTGTAACGTTTTTTTTTCTACGGTCAAGTTAATATTAATTAGTCTCGTGGTGTACTTCGGAGTTTGATTCCTGTATATGCTGTGGATGTGGATATTTTCACACCCGTGAATGTTGTAGGGTTTGATTTTAATAAAACTCAAGACTTATGTATATACATAATTTTATGTAAATTTAAAATCGTTTAATTTCACTGTACAGTACAGTACAGTAGAACCTCTTTAAGAAAACCTCCAAAACGCGAAAAAATGTTTTGTCCCTTCCCTTCAAGCCCCAAAACTTTCATTACTCTGTATTAGTCTAAATAATCAGTTAGTCCCTGCAAGCCATTTTAGTACATATAATTAGAAAAATTAAATTGGATCTCTGTATCTCGAACATAGTAATGTTTTATTTTACAACATTTATAACTCGATAATTTGAAAATTTATTATGTCTATTTATAGTTCGTTAAGTTATCGACTTTAAGGATTCGTCGACAATGTAAGTACATCAAATTTTAACCTTTGCAAATCGAATCAAAATCCGCCTAAGTCAAAACCCTCCATAAGTCGAAAACTCTATAACATTTTTGGTATCTCCATTGATGTTCGAGTTATATAGTAGTATACTGTACGTACATGTATTAGGTTTAAGAAGTGAAATAAAAATATGTGCGATTGAAGCTTGACGTAATCAGCTAATGATCAGTCAAAAGATCAGATAACCCTTGTCCAACATACCACAACAACATTTGAACATTTTACTTCAATACAAAACCAAATCAAAGCGGTTCATACCTAGAAGCTGTAGCTGTTGGATCCTTCCAGCTAATTCTTTGTCTAAATATTTGGCGGCCAATTTGGCACCATACACCTCACTATTCAGGGCTAAAATGGAATTCCTCAAGGCAGCATTTTCTAGTTGTATTTGTGCATTTTCTGACTTTAACTGGGTTAATTCTATATAATAAGGGTTTATTTTAATCTCGTCGTTTCCGTCTTTGTTAACTGGAATATTTTTTAATCGTTACGACTTACGAATGTTTATCGTTTTTTAAACGACTTAATGACTTACTGTTTGGCAGTCGCGTAGGGCTGTTTTTTATTTCTTCGTCAAGTCGCTTTTTAATGTTGTGAATGTCATGTTTTGTCGGATCTAGATTTTTATTTAACGATAACGATGGCAATTGGGACAATTGCGACGAGTGTAATTGAAGAATCAAATTGTGCAACTCTTGTTCCAAAATTTCGTGCTTCGACTTCGATTCGACCAATTCGGCTCGCATATGAATCAATTCGGCCTAAAATGGTTAATATCTCATGGGGAAGGAGAACTAACAGCAAAATGCTTTTTATTCATTATTACATCAAATATAAATACAACGATTTGATTGTGGCGGATGTTTCTCTCATTACTTTACGAGAAAGATATACAATAAATACTCGATAGAGTGAACAAATTCCACATAATATGACCTGCATATGTATATGTTAACGGAAATGTGTGTAATCCGTCACTGTATACAATTCCTAGGAAAAGTATATAATCTTAAAAGTTGTGAAATAAATTATATTAGACAAATTTCCTAGGAAATTTATACATTTCCTAAATAGCAATCGGAAATGTATTACATTCAAGATGTCAATGGGTATGCGGGGATAGCGAAGGGAGGGTATTGCGTCATCCGATTTATTGTATTCACAAATAACCCTTATTCTCAGTTTACTAAAGTGTTTTATTCATTTTATTCACAGAAAACATTAGTTTTATACATTTCCTAGTGCAATATTGGAATTTCATACAATTCCTAGGAAATGTATGTATTAAAAAATCTTTGAGACAATATTTTATACATTTCCTAAATAGCCTCGAAATTGTATACATCGCCTAGGAATTGTATGTTAGACTAAACCGTCGTATTCTGTACGAATTTTCCAATACCACGACGTAGATATTTTTTTAAATATGATGCCACCCTTTGATGATTGCATGTGATAGGGAGTCATTTATGAAATAGAGAGGGGTATCCGTTAGTGTGACGAAATATGACAAGCCCTCCCCTTTTGTCTAAGGAAATGTGACGTTTGCAGTTCATCAATATTATTAACTTCCCATTAGGAAGTTATTGTAATTGGGTCGAAAAGTGAAATCGGAATTTTCATTATATTTCCACGTTTTAACATATTAGTAGCATGCTAGCCAATTTTTTTGATGATGTGTGTATGTACGTACGTACGTACGTACGTACGTACGTA